CTCTCCCTCTCCCTCCTTCCTCCCTGCCATCACTTCCATCCTCTCCCTCTCTCCCTCCTTCCCTCCTTCCCATCACTTCCATCCTCTCCCTCTCTCCCTCCATCCCATCACTTCCATCCTCTCCCTCCTCCCTCCTTCCTTCCTGCCATCACTTCATCCTCTTCCTCTCTCCTCCTTCCCTCCTGCCATCACTTCCATCCTCTCCCTCTCTCCCTCCTTCCCTCCTGCCATCACTTCCATCCTCTCTCCTCTCTCCCTCCTTCCCCATCACTTCCATCCTCTCCCTCTCTCCCTCCTTCCCTCCTGCCATCACTTCCATCCTCTTCCTCTCTCCCTCCTTCCCCTCACTTCCATCTCTCCTCTCCTCCTTCCTTCCTGCCATCACTTCCATCCTCTCCCTCTCTCCCTCCTTCCCTTCCTGCATCACTTCCATCCTCTCCCTCCTCCCTCCTTCCCTTCCTGCCATCACTTCCATCCTCTTCCTCTCTCCCTCCTTCCTCCCGCATCACTTCCATCCTCTCCCTCTCTCCCTCTTCCCTCCTGCCATCACTTCCATCCTCTCCCTCCCTCCTCCCTCCCTCCTTCCCTTCCTGCCATCACTTCCATCCTCTTCCTCTCTCCTTCCTTCCTTCCTGCCATCACTTCCATCCTCTCCCTCTCTCCCTCTTCCCTCCCTGCCATCACTTCCATCCTCTCCCTCTCCCTCCTTCCCATCAGTCCATCCTCCCCTCTCCCTCCTCCATCCTGCCATCACTTCCATCCTCTCCCTCTCTCCCTCCTTCCCTCTTTGCTATTACTTCCATCCTCCTCCTCTCTCTCCCTTTCCCTTCCTGCCACCACCTCCACCCTCTCCCTCTCTCCCTTTTCTTCCTTTGCCACCACTTCCATCCTCTCCCTCCTCTCTCCTTCATACCAACTCCGCCCTCTCCATAAACCCCTAAATTCTCCCCCATCCCTCCATGTCAACAACTTCCATCCTGTTCATCCTCTTCCTTGCTTCCTTTAAGCCAAGACTGCAGGTCCTCTCCTTCAAAATACTATATATAATATATCAATCAATATCATGGAATAATCTTGTGAGCTGTAATTTCTGGTCTGTCTATTTATCAACAATACGTACCAACAAGCTGCAAACTGTTATCTAAATAGTTCAAATTAACTCTGAACACAGGTTCTATTCAATTCAAAAAACAAATTTATTTGACAGACAAGAATTTAAATTGTCCTATTCACCTCTACTTTAACGCAGAATGACTTAACTGTTTATTACCAACATTATACACTCATTGACATTTCAACATTCCCTTTTCTAGCACGGATTACTTCTCTCATAACTCACCCCTAAAGTTATAAAAGAAATATGAAGAGACGTGGGGCAAAAGCATTACCGAAACAATTTTTTTTTTAATTCAAAAAATTATCTCTGCATATATCTTATCACAATATCAATATACTATATTAACACACTATCCGCTATATCTTGCACAATAATTCAGTTAATCCACAAAAAACTAAAATTACTACCATGTACCTATTGTTTATCTATATCTTCACATTCACTCTGCTTTTTGTAAAAATGTCATTTGCTTTTTGTGGCCATATAAATAATCTAAATGTTTAGAAGAACCCTATACAACCGGTACTTGCTTTAAATATGTATACGTAATATATATATGGTATTTATGCACATCAGCAAAGGCCAACCAACCTCCATCAAATACATACTGGCGAGATAAATTTTTTAGATCTCCCTGCAACTTGCGTATTCCATTTTTTTAAATGAATGACCGCATAGAATAGAATATGCCCCTTTTTTGTTATTAAATTAACAAAAAAGTGACATATTCTATAAAAAGTGTATTGAAAAAACAAATCGCATTTTTACAATTTTCTAAATGGCCTTCCATAATCCATCATCAATCCATAAAATTACTGTTCCTTCCATTTTTGAAAACTGCACAAATGTGAACACATTTTTCTAAATTCTTAGTTTTTTTTGTGCTTTATCTCATCCATATCTCCTTTATTTTCGATTTGCGCACCTTTTGCCATAGATGAAAAGTGTCTCAGTTTACGTCAAGATAACCATTCCACGCATTTTTTTACTCAAATCCTGATTGTAATCCGCTGTAAATTACCAAAATAAGCTCCATTTTAAGAAACTATAAGTCTTTTAAATATTTAGCCAAAATACAATGCTAAAACTTACAGCATTTAAAAAATTACGAAATCAAGAAGTGCGCTCCCTTTCAATAATGTCTAAATATACAAATGGCTATCAACATCACTACTTTTATGGCCACACAAGAATCAATGTAGATGAACTTGTAACATTCTATTAAATAAGTTGTCTGAATACATCAAATAAAATATTGTAATCAATCGTAACATTAGCTACAGAACTTGACAACTATATAGTTTTTAAATTCTTTCAAATCTCATTAATAAACGGCCAGATTCAAGAGTAACTGAACTATCACTATCTTTCCTGCTTTTGTGGATTTTTTTTTTTTCTCTCTCTCTCCCATAACTTTGCTATTATCAAGATGCTGAGGTAATACCATAGAATAAAAGTTCCGTTAAACGTAAAATTTTCATTCTAATTTGAGGCTCTGTGAATCTAAAACTATTAAAAAAAAAAAAAAAAAAAAAAAAAAAAAAGTTCATATCCCTTCCAGAGTTATTATTCTGAATTATATATCATACTTTTTTCTCTTTTACATAAACTACCGGAAATTCGTTCCTTCCTTTGTTTTCCTGTCTTTCCTTTTTATTATTCATTTATTTATTTATTTATTTATTTATTTTACTAAGAGTTCAACAAAATGTATTCAACTATGCAATGGAAACAACGGTTTGAAATAACATCAACTGATACCTGTTATCAACACTTTACGTACATACAAAAAAGAAACATACCTTATCCCATTTCAACCACTCGGTGATTTTCTCATCGAGCACTGGATTTCCTGTATGATCTTTAAGTCTGCATTGTGTAAATAACGTGTAATTTAGTGAAAGAAGATGACCAGTCGGCAAGTTGCGTTACACTGAGCCTTCTCGCTCTCGTCTGGCTGGGCAGACGACGCGGCTTCCAAATTGTCAAATCCGTTCCAATAATATCTTGGTCAAAGACGCTCTGTCATATATGCAGTGGTTTTTTATTAAACGTACTGTTATTAGTATCGTTTATCTGTGGAATTAAATGAAGACTAAGTAGATTTTTTGCCTTTTGATGGTCATGTTGTAGTACGATTCATACTCGTGCTTGTATCATTAAAGTGTTTTAAAAAGCAAGTCAAGGTCACTCATAGGGTGACATTGAACGAATAGTTCATACTGGATTATGGCATTTTATTCTTTCTACCTCACCCCGTTTTATTCGGGAGAGCACTATAGAGGTGATTTTTTTATATAAAAATCTTTCTTATAAGAGATACAATTTCATATATTTTGGCAAAATATGAGTGACAATTGCCATGAATTATTTGGGAAACTAATATGTAGGCCATGACCAATGAAATAGTCTCAAGTATAAAAATATATATAAATCTGTATTAGTTTATGAATGAAAAAGAATAAAATACTATCAATATAGTTTATCTCTATGATATATATAGACACATTATCATTTAAGACTTTTAAATTGTTTAAATTGTGTCATGAACAATGTCATGTGTTTCAAATGACTACTCTTGCTGCAGTCATCATTTGTCTGTTTTTCAATAAAGGTTTTCCTAAATTAATTGACATTATTCTCATCTGATTAATAATATCCGTTGAACTTGAATGCACCATCTGATAGTACTGCCATTTGCAATTAATATAAATGAATTCATATGCCATGCTGTACTAAGTTGTGTAAGGACTAAAGTTCAGGACGACAAATACTAGAAAAAGCACAAATACAAATGGGTACTACTAGTAGGTTTGCTGATTGATAGTTGAAATTAGGGCATTCCTGCTATTTTGTTTTTCCTTCAGAATTATCTTGATACAGATGCAACTTTGAAGGACATCAGTTAAATAATTAGGTCTATGAAGTGAGCCTTTCACTTCCTACGTTTTAGCAGCAACGAAAATTACATTATTCCAGATTGCAAAATAATTTTGTTTTGTCTTGGACCTCAAATGTTTTTTTCAGCACTACTACACCAGTTCTTACTAATTACAGGCAATTGGCTTGTTATTTAAAGGCTATCTATTGGCAGTTTCATTATCAGTTTTATTATAGGTGCTCTGATGCAAGATGGAGCGATCTGTTTCCAAGAATATTGAACTCACTTCTCTTGTGTCTGGTTACCAAGAATATTGAAGTCTGCCCTCTTTCATTAATTGTTAATGCAAATATTGAAGTCTCCCTTCTATGTGCCTTTATATTTCAATGTAACAGACATTATTTCATTGAATGCTGATTATCCTAGCAATTAACATGCAAGGTTTCAGCTTGCCGTTTCCTTTTTGGATACTTCAAAAGAAGTAAAGTCCACTTACTTATTTCATGCAAGTCTCTGTTCTATTCATTTTGTTTTCATTTTAGTACATACATGATCTGGATTTCAAGAACGTAAAACTAGGATATGGAATGTGAAGAAGCAAACAATGAGCTTGTAAATATATATGATACTTCTGTGATGTTTATTCATGATATTAATTTCAAACAAGTTTTTTCTTTTTTGTTTTTGTGTTCAGGATAAAACAGGGATAACTCCAGAATCAATAGACTGGTTTAACTTTCAACAGATGTATATTGTTTTCAATATTTTCCATTTCCTTTTTGATGTTATTCTGTTATCATAAATGCATATATAGTAGAATTTCTGAATAACATGTGGTTAACAAGAACTCTAGTTCTTACTTAGAAAACAGTAGCTATAGAGACCCATAACTACATCTAATGGCTACTTTCAATAGCAGCTTTGCTATAACCTTAATCAGCAAATAACTGGAGTTCAATTTAACCCTTATCATTCAAAATGTAGCAATACTGACTAATGATATTAAGACTTATCTTCTACCTCAATTTTATAATACATTTGGGTACTCTGCATTATTGGTAATTCAGTGTTTCTTCTCTTGTACATATGTCAGAGGAAATGGAAGAAAAACAAATTTATTAGATCATAGCATCATTTCAATAAAATTTGTAGTCTCAAAAAAAAAACTATATATAGTCAAGAAGATTTGAAAGGATATTCACCTTAAAAGTCTTCAACCATCATCCCTTCCAGAAATTTCCAGAAAGAATGATCAAGAAAGGTACAAGAGAAGACTGAACCACTTGGAATGACAAAATTGTTATGGCAGAACTGAGGTTAGTGGAAGCCAAGTGCATTCCTTTTATCATGGAAATGTTCAAAGTGTAAAACATCACTATTTCAACTGATAATGTTTTACCAGGTTAGGTACATATTGAGAAATACTTACATTTTATTCTACATGGGAATATTTGAACATGACCCCCACCAAAGATGGGTACGTCATCATGTATAACTATTTACAAATTACATTTCAAAGATGAGAACATTTACAAGACAAATCAACATACAATCTGGCAAACTTTCAATAGTTATCATAAAATGACAGGCTGTTGTACGAAGATGCCTTACTGTCCCAGATCAAAATAATTTAAGCAACTGAAGATCTTTATATATGAAAATAGAATGTAACTTAGGATGGAATCAGACAAAACACATGTTATTTTCATTTCATTTGCCAAAGTTAACTTTCTTCTTTAGGAATATGAAACAGTATGTACATATCACATAATAACAATGCATATATATAAAATATGAAAACCTATGTCCTCTGATGCAAGTGACTTCATGGTTAGATACAAATTAACAGCCCATTGTTATCATGGTTAGACTTATGCTGATATTATTAGTTTAAAATGGATCAATTTTGCTCTGACTGTAACACAATAGAATTTAAGCTGCTAACTACTGAATACAGTAAATCAGACTAAAACTTAATAATTTTTAAGAAATACATTCAATCACATTGAAAATAAGGGCAAACTTATTGTATACAATAGTTAGAGCTTACAACCTATCTTGCCTCATTTTCCTCATGTGATATTTTAAGCATGCTTATCTTTGCAGCATGCCAGATATAACAACCTTGATTCAGAAAACTTGTTTCAATTATGTTTTCATAAGTAAAAAAAATAACTATTATTCCAATTTTTTATCTAAACAAAATTATGACCCTCATAACTTTCAAAGTGCCTTAACAGCTGTAGCAGCAGCATGAGCCAGCAGAGCATCAGCTGCCTGACGTGTTTCGAGGGTTAGCCTAGCCTCCTTGATCCAACTGGAGGCAACATTGCGGGCTTCTCCACGCAAAAGGTTCATGTAACGTACACTTTGAAGGAGGTCATCTTTGTCCAGGCAATATCTGGAAAGACAAAAACAAAAATTACAGAAGCTATGTAAAACAAACAAACAGACTGAGCAACAGACAGACAAGGCTGAGTGGGGAGGGGGGGAGAAAGAGGAGGAAAAGAATAAGAAAAAGTAGGAAATTATTCAGATCTAAATGTATATGGACTTTATTTAAGTCTCAAAACTATACATACATCCTAAATATGTATATATTAACAGTTTATTACAATGTAATAAGCTATATTCATACATAGCCAATATAATACAAAAATACTTTTTTTTCCTTTCTTTCTTTTTTCAAGCAACTGTACCCTTCATATATCTTCATGTACATACACTTGCATCTTCATCACTATTCATCTCACCTGGCTCTTGCTAAGATGTCATACACAGAGAGTGAGTCAACTGGAACCTCTTCATCACGGACTTCACTGCCAGGCAAGTACTCGAAAGCATTCAGAATCAAGAAGCTTTGAACGTAAGACAGCATGTACCTGGAAAGTTAGATGAGAAATGCAAACTGTTATCTTGATTCTTTTTCATATTCCAGAAGGATGAATGTTTCAAATCTATAATTCAGTGAAGGCATTAGTCATAATGTGTATATGATATATGTATGTATAAGTGTATATGTGTATATGTATGTATATGTATATATATATATATATATATATATATATATATATATATATATATATATATATATATATATATATATATATATATATAAATCTTTTAAAATCCTTAAAAGTTTTTTAAATTCAGAAGAAGTGACTTACTTGATTAGAGAACCACCATTGTCTCCAATCATGGATACACGCTTGCAGATTCTATCAACTTTAATGAAACGTTCTCTTAAGGCATCTTCTGTATATACACCACGAGTTCGAGCTTCTTCTGACACAGCCCCTATCACTGCACTCAAATAAGAGTTTTCACCTGAAAATAAATATTTGAAATTTGTAAACCTGCCAAGAATCAAGTAAAAATCTGGTGCTGTACTTGTTCTTAAAAACATAATTAAGTTTGTAATAATTCTTTTAAACGTCAAGAAAATTTGTAAACAAGAAAGACAGCCAGGACTAATAATTGATTCTCTGGTAACAGCACATGTCCATGTGTGTAAACGCACAATAAATTATACTCGTGGTAGACATAGTGTGTTCGTACATGCCGTCCCCAAACTGAAGTGACATAGTAAATATGGTATTGCAAAACTATTAAGTTTGATATGAAATTGAAAATGTGTGCCTTACCTCCAGCAGTTTTGATAGCAGTTATATGTTCATCAAGTGGTTTAAGCTGTTCTTCCCATGACTTGGCACCTTCCTTGCCTAGCCTGTTATGATGAAAATAATATTTACGATCTATCTTTAAAATAAATCATGATTATATGATCTTGATATATTTCATTTAGATTCTAATTATCTACTTTGAATGAATAAAAAAACATGCATTTTACTTTTTAATTCCAATTTTTGCATTATCCCTTACCTAAGGGCACTCCTCAAAGACTCGCAAGCAAGCCACAGTTCTCGAGCTGAATATGCTGCTTTGTCAACATCAGCTCGGGCTGTCAGTGCATTCTGCAAGTATTGAGATTTCAAGTACAGAAAAAGAAAAACAAAAAAGATCCCATTTTAAATACTTTAAATATGGAAAATAGAATGTAGTAATTACAGCCACAGGGGGGGGGGGGGGCTTCTCGTTCCACTGTTCTTGTTTTGGGGCTTTTTTTTTACATATGTTTCTGAAAATTGCCTTTCCCCACAAAGTAATCTTGTTAAAATCAGGTTTTCAATCAATTTCATAAATATGAAATGAAAGAGGTAAATCTAGCATTTCAAGGGTCTATATACATAAGGTAAGGAATATTTATCCTATAGATATTTCAGCACAATGGGTTCCTAATTTTCAAAATAATTTATTAAAGAATATATCAATAGATAAACATTTAACCCCTTTAAATAAGGTCACATAAAATATTACTTGCTTAAAGGGGAAGGCAGGTCACATAATATGTGTCTGACCTGGATATAGGTTGCCAGAAAATATTAATGTATATTCAAGACTGTCTGACCCCTGCTACAACACATTAGCCTAAGGAAGAGTTAGTGTTCACTAACTGCAGCTAAGTGATTATATAATTTCAATTTGCTACCTGACAGCTCTAATGGTAGCTCTACTTTCTATATCTTTATAATTCTTACAAGACCTAACACATTTTTTAACAAACTAGACCTGCATATTGAGTGCTGTGCATACTGTCTAACCTGCTGTGAGAGGTTAAATAAATGATGTTCCCTTAATCCCTATGATCTTGATGACATGACCATCTTGTCATGAAAAAAAATTGGCTTGAGTGGCAGGTAACATGAGTTTGCCATCAAAGAGCAAACTGTCTAAGGGCCAGGGTGATAACATGTTGCTGTGATGAGAATTTCACCTCAGTGGGCATTTAGAAAGGGGCTTTTGCATTATTTCTATTGATAACTGAGTGTGAAATGTACCATCCATGATCCATGAGTGGAAGAGCCCTAGCTACAAGGAGGATACTACTTCCATGCTCAAGATCCTATTCCTGCTTGCTCTGACAGGTGGTGCTGGTTGTAATATCAAGAATTTAATATCACAATTATTTTTTTAATTACACAAATAATAAAATACTATTTATTGTTATTTTCATTGCCCTCATTTACGAAGTACCTAGAGAGATGACATGGTATCTGTGCAACAAAAACACTATTACCATCTAAATACAGCATATCAAATGACAAATATAGACAATGGAAAATGGCAAAAAAAAAAAAAAAAAAAATAAAAATGCTTATACAGAAAAATTTAATATAATATGGCTAAGGGGAGGCATGTTATCTTGTAATCACACTTGAGTGTGTGTGTGCCACACATTTGTCAGAGTAGATGCTCAAGTCTAAAGCCCAGATTCTGCGCCAATGCGGTTAGCAAAGCACCTGGATCCAAGAGGTTAATCAAGTATTTTAAAATACACAAATGGAAGATATATAGGATAAGCTCAAGAACTTGCAATGAATCCCAATAATCAACAGAAACCTATATACACACCTTCAGCCCATCCAGCTGGCCCTGCATGACAGCAACGGAACTAAGGTACTTGTCCTTCTCTGTCTGGACTTTATCCTGAAGCAGTTCTGACCACCTGGAATAATGCATATATCATTTTATTACAAATTACAAAAAATATAAAAATCCTAATAACTTCATTCATTCTAAAGCGCTCTCAGTAATGTCTATTGAATTAATCAACACCTGTGTTTTCCTTACTTGCTTTCAAGCTCTTTCTCTTGGACGGTCAGCACATCAGCAAGATGGTCGCTGTGTGCTGCAGCTTGACGTTTCAACTGTGCCCTCAGTTCACTTTCTAACTCCTCACGCAGCTGAGCAACCTTTCGTCTTGAACATGCAAAGAATATATGAGTAACTCAGGTAACTGTTAAATTTCAAATACAACAAAAATTGTAAAAGACATCATCAAGCTGTTATAAGGAGACTACACAAAAATTGTATAAATGGCTTCTTACTTGTATTCAACTTCAAGCTGTTGCTTTTGCTTCTCTAGAGATGCATTGACCTTT